GTGGCACACAACACACTCGGCGTTCTGGCTCCTCTAATTATTTGCGAAAATGCAGGTACGTGCCTTTCACACGGAATTCTACCGCTAAACACAACACCACACGCAAATTTATCGTGTATTTGTTGTGACCGTTGATTTTACCAATGTTTCTATCTAGAAATATTCCCGTATTTTTACTTTATCTTAAAGATTTCCAACCAACTCAAATATATTTAAAAAGTTCTCCAAAAATCCTATCAAATGAGGTCAAAACTTTATTTTAAATATATCAAAATTATAAATTTTTTTACCGTTTCCTAAATTATTTAAACGGGGTACCTAATATTTGATTCTAATAAACTGGAATCGCTTTCAACAATAAAATTTCTTAAATATCCTGAAAAAATTTACAACCTTGCAACACTGTTCAACTTTACACTTGACGTCATTGCAAACTTATTGTACGACGTGATCAATCTATAATTTTGATTAGCGTATATTAAAAATTAATCTACTTATTTAATAGTATATAATGAAGAAACTGATTTTTTCGATATACAGGGTGACTAATTTTAAGAAAAAAAGGTCATATGGACATGGTTCCTGAGATAGAGTATCCAAAAAAAATGTTTAATTTTAATTTAATGTTAGAGGGCGCCACACGGTGTTGTACCTGGATTTAAATAACCATAAAGTTTTTACAATAATAAACACCCAGTATAACTGTCATTCTGTATATCGTAAGGAAAATGTAATTATGACACACTCTGTATAAGTTATGTCTCCAATAGATAGTTTTACATCGCTGCCTTTTAAAAGATATTAAATATTTAAAAATCATTAAACTGTTTTTACATTTTTTTTCTATAGAATGGCGAATGCGCCAATGTTACGCAACCATATTAAAAAAAATTTGATACACCTCGTATATCAAAATTTTCGACACATATACACGAAATGTTGATGTAGTAACTATAACGCTTTTGTATAGTACAACTAAGAAACATATAAACTATTGATATCTTCAAGAATTGAATTAAATTTGGCATTTTTATTAAAATTTTGGAATATGCTGCGTATATGCTTTAAAAATTTATTTGCCAATATATAATTATGACGGTGCGCAAATCACGTTTCTTGCTGCTTTATTTTACTGACTTTTAACAGAGATTAAATCTATTGAAAAAAATTGTTGACAAGAAAATATAAAAATTTTTACAAAAAAATTAGAAATCGTACCCAATTTTCAACTTAAGCACAACGTATGCCGCATATATTCAAACAATTTAAGGAATTTAATAGCCACATAACAAAAAATATATCGGCAAAGACAAAAGAGTGAATTACAAAATACGTATGTCTATAACTAATTAATGAACAAAACTGTTGTTCATTTATCAAACCGCAAATTTAGCATCTTTAAAAAAATAATAATAAAGCTCTAATCAGAACGTTGTTTGTTTGCAGTGATTCCAACAAGAACAGCGTTTTTAATCAAAGTGAGATTTTGCATTATAATATACGACATACGCTGTAAAACCTAACCTCAAAAAAGTTATAGCATAAAATGTCTGGATAAGATCAAAAATTAACCATACAGCTTACTTTTTTTGTAATGCCATTTTATCTACAGGGTGTAAGAAGTTTGACTGCCATTACTTCAGCATGAGATTAGAGTAATTATAAATGAACAAAAAAGTTGTATATTACAGTTCGTAAGATCAACAGTTTTCAAAATACAGTAAGTATTAAAAATTGGGGAGTTTCATCACATCATCTTTTGTACATCAAATTGGAGATTTTGATAATTTTTTTTCTAGGAAATGGTTTAGGGCCCATGTCATATAAGGTTTTTTTGTTTATTTTAATGTATTCTATCGCCTGTTAAAATTATTCTAACGCCCTGTATAATAAATATATAACCTGTCTGTTTTACTCTGCTGCAATAAAATAAAAAAAATAAACTGTTAGGGGTCACATGACGTCCATTTTGTTTTCGTGGTAAAAATTTGCAGTATGTTCATTAACAACTGAAATTCGACAGTTCTGTCCTTTTAACAAGGCTAAAAGAATTTTAACGAAAAAAATATTATTAAGTTTAATGTCAACAGTTACAATCAATTTCAAAAACAACAGTAGACAGTGTCAATTGTGTTGATTGTCTATGCACCGGTCAGATCCTGCAGCCCATAATCGGTTTCGAAGTCAAATTGCAAGCATAAATATTAAAAAGAAGGGGGCTAAGCGAGGGGCGATCCGCTAAGAAAAAAACGTACGAAGATTACAAAATTTCTGAAATCTCTTGTAATGTATCTGCAGATTTCAATATCGATTAAAAAAAATTACAAATTTCATATAAATAATCAAGATTACAATATCTTTCAACCGATTACAAAACATTTCAGGAGATTTCAGAGTTATTTTAGTAGATTTCAATGATTATTTAAGATTTCAATAGGATTATTCGAAATTAAAAGAAGATTTCAAAATTTCTTAATAATATTTCAAGGAATACGGGAAGATTACAATAAGTTTTGAATGTCCATTTGAACAAAAATAATTGAATTAACTTCAACTGTCATTCATTTCATTCATTAACAGTAGTGCTTTGATTAAGAATTTCCAGTATCATTTTTACGCAAAAATTGTAACATTCTGATTAAGTTTTTGTTCGAATGAACGTTAAAAACTTTTTGTCATGACAAAAATGATAACGCCATTTTGAAAGTAGGTAAGTATATATTTTTATTGAAAGATAAAAATATAATAATCCAATAAACTAATAAAAATAAAAAAATAGAAGTAACATAAAATAAACATTTTCCCAAAAAATAAATAATAAGAAATATTTTAAGCTTTTATTAACACTTGTATTTAATACTTTACCTGTATACAGTGTATTTAAAAAAGACGCGGCAATATTTAAGGGGGCGATTGCCCAGATCATTTTATAAAAAAAAGTTCCTATAAACATACGTCCGCAAACGCTTCGTTACCGATCTACAGAATGTTGAAATTTCATTAAAAAAACAGTAAAAATTAAATTTCTCCAAAACCTCTTGATATTATAATGAAATTTTAGGCCTGTCAATAGCTATGGCAGACGCGTACTTTGCAATACAAAACGATTTTTTAGTCTTACCAGTGACTAGCTATTTTTAATGAAAAAAATAGGACCCCGCTGGTTTTTCTAAAAATATAATTTTTTAATTCCTTGTTCAATTATGAAGAAGAAAGCTTTCCTCAGATTATACGCACCGTACGTCACACCGTTATTGAGTAAAAAAATAAAAAACATTTTATTGCGCACCTAAACCCAATGTTGTTTTAATTGAGAAATTTAAATTATTGAACAAAGAAATTCAAATTATCAAATTTGATTGATTTTTGAAATGTGGTACATACTGTTGTTTGTAGTAGGTAATAATAAGGGGCTGCGTTTTAGAGAAATTTAATTTTTACTGTTTTTTAATGAAATTTCACATTCTGTAGATCGGTAACGAAGCGTTTGCGGACCTATGTTTATAGGACTTTTTTTATAAACTGACCTGAGCAATCACTCCCTTAAATATTGCCGCGTCTTTTTTAAACACACTGTATACAAGTAAAGTATTAAATGCAAGTATTAATAAAAGCTTAATATATTTTTTATTTATTAGTTTTTGGGAAAATACTTACCTACTTTCAAAATAGCATTATCATTTTTGTCATGACAAAATGTTTTTAACGTTCATTCGAACAAAAAACTTAATCAGAATGTTACAATTTTTGCCCAAAAAATGCCTGATACTGGAAATTCTTAATCAAAGTACTACTGTTAATGAATGAAATGAATGACATTTGAAGTTAATTCAATTATTTTTGTTCAAATGGACATTCAAAACTTATTGTAATCTTCCCGTATTCCTTGAAACCTTATTAAGAAATTTTGAAATATTCTTTTAATTTCTAATAATCCTATTGAAATCTTAAGTAATCATTGAAATCTACTAAAATAACTCTGAAATCTCCTGAAATGTGTTGTAATCTTGATTATTTATATGAAATTTGTAATATTTTTTGAATTGATATTGAAATCTGCAGATACATTACAAGAGATTTCAGAAATTTTGTAATCTTCGTCTGTTTTTTCCTTGGCGGATTGCCCTTCGGAACACACCAATCGCACCATATAGGTTTCTGTCGAGGTTTCTGTGGCATTCTTTGGAAAATGAGGTAGGGGGGGGGGGGTTGTATAACGACTACATCGACGAAATTCATTAGCTGATTACATAGATTACAGCGAGGATTACAGATAAGATTACGTAGATTACAGATAGATTACATAGATTACAGATAAGATTACGTAGATTACATAAAGATTTCCCCCTCGGGGCTAAGGACCGATCCTTGTGGGATGCCACCCCGTGCACGTCCATTAGTCGATGAAATTGCACTTTTACGAACAATTTAGAAATTATCCCGGTTAATATTAAAGCTATCGGCCCGATTTGTTCACTACACATTCAGCGAGCTAGTTGAATGAAATGAGCTAATTATTCGGCGGACCGGCATCTCTCCGAGCCTTTCTCATTGGGATGTCCCGAAGCCGTAGCCGGTACGCAATAAAAGGACGATTATTCGTTCGAACCCGGCAGACATCCTTGTTCGATACTGCGAGAACTATTATCTGGATATTAATGTCGGAAGCAACAGGTCCAACGTAGGGAGGGGGGGTGCGTATCCGGACGGCAGGGGAAGAAACGCTATCGCTGGAATCCTCAATGTTTCCAAAACACATCCAAAAGTACAAGAACGGCATAAATGATTGAGTGACGAGAGAACGCCTGCGCCGGCCGGCGTCTTATAGCCAGGTGGCGCGCCCGTACATCCCCGCTTCGCATCTGGAATCACCGCCGCGACTCAGTTTCCAACCGGCACCCTCAGCGCGCCCCCGTGTGCCACTGACGCAGACCGCGCGCGGACGCACGTCTGGAAACGGCATGAATTTTTAAACCGTCAAAAACCCAACCGGACGAGAAATGTTTCACAAACAAACCTTAATAAATGTGATATTAATCCTATTATTGCTCCACTTCGTGAGCGGCAACGTCGTGGGGATAAGGCACAGGAGGTCCAGACTGGTGAGGGCGAGAAGGCACGGCAACCACTTCGCCAACATAAAAAAATTCTCCTCCGACTTCGAGAACGTCGGGAACATCGACTGGCGGACGACCCAGGGACCGTTGCCCGACGACAACTTAACGATCACCACGGTCGACGAGAAGATCATCGTCAAGTTACCGCCCAAACCCAACAGGCCGCAATCGAACAACAGCTGGCAGCACATAGACAAGACGGTGCTCTACATGGGGGACAGGATCCTGGACGACACAGACAGCAGGGCGAAGGACAGGACGGCGTCGGAAACGATGCAGAAAGCGGGAGACACCGGTGACACGACCGGCTCGAACGACATGGAACAGGGCAGGTCCCCGGAGAAATCGGAGACCGTCCGCAGCGGTCACGTCGACATCGTCACCCGCTTCCTGCGCATCGTGGAATCCCAACACCTGCTGGGGGAGAACTGCACGGCCGGCACGGACCTGAACCTCGGCGAGGGCGTCGTCGACCGCTACGCTCAGGAGAGGTTCCGCGTGGAGGCCGACGTCGCCGTCAACAGGGCCAACATGCTTACGAGGCTGTGGAAGTACGCGGATCGGAACGTGGTCGCCTCCGACTACCTCCTGTCCGCTCTGGTGTTCTCCATGGTTGAATTCAACGACGTCATCTTCGCCGCCGGGAACTGTTACGACAAACACCAGTACAAGGACCACCTGCTCTTTTGTCCTTACGCCTATCGCTTGCCGGAGGGCGGGATTCTCGTGAAGGACCTGGCCGTCGAGTACAACTATCTCGGCAACACCTCGGAATGGTTCTTCATCGCCAGGAAGAACGCCGAGAATGTCATCGAGAACCGCAATCAGTTCAGCACCGGTGAGTCGTTACATCGAGGCGATACTTTTTTTTCCGTTCGACGGGACGTCACGCAAAAAATTCGACGGTTTGTTCAGGTGCAAGCACCAATTTCAATTTCCAATAGCGAGAGTTAATAGTAGAAGTAGTTAAAGCAAATATTATTTTAGGATATCGGCATGCAATTATACCAATAAATTTAATTCAAGTTGGTATGATCCAATGAAACTAATTTCGTATCTATCAAAAGTAACTTAAAAATGTTCACAAGCTCGAATGTCCAGATCTTTATTTTAAATGTGGATTATACAAAGCGTTTTGATTTATAGAACTACACAATCCGATAATATACGGGGTGTTAATTAAGTATGTACAATAAATTCAACAGACGATTATTTGAGTGATTTTAAGACAAAAAGTTCATATAAACATTGGTCCGCAGATGCTTCGTTTTGAAGATACAGGGCGTTAAAATTTTGTAATAAAAATTGCAATTTTGTTGTAATTTGGCAGTGTTATTTGTAGTGTTAAGGGACTAATTTAATCCTAACTTGATTACATTTATTAAGTCCCGAGCGGTACCTTCACAAATATTTTTGAGAAAAAAAATGTGCGCCACTGACTTTTTTGTAATTTATATATATTTTTTTAATTAAGCAACTAAAAATACAACTTTTTTGTCTCTTGAATGTTTTTCATATCTTTATTAATTTTTGTAGAAAAAAAATAAAATCCACTTAACTGCATATCTCTGAACCACACAAGAAACATGGGGAAAAGTTTCTTTTGGAAATTATCAT